CTTTAAGTTTACAACTAAGGAGAGGCTGTGGGAAGCGATTCCAACACTGATGAAGGCTAAGGAGGCAGCACATGGACATGTTTTCTGTGTACACTGCTGGTCAAAGACTGCTAGGTGTGAGGCTGTAGGTTATTAATCAGCCATCATACCTTCTGTGTTTCCATGTGTAGACTAAGAACCAGAGGTCTAAAGGAAATGTGGGTTACTTCCTTCCCAATAATTCACTTCCTTTCTAGCATTCCTGGTGTTTTTGTCAGCTTTTTTCACCCTGTGACCAAAAGACTGACAAGAACAATTAGAAGAGGAAAAGTTTATTTGGGGGCTTATGGTTCCAGAGGCCTCAGTCATCTGGCTCCATTGCTCTGGACCCAAGGTGTGACAGAACATCATGGCAGAAGAGTGTGGTGGAGGAAAGTAGCTCAGAAAATGGCCACCAGGAAGGGGAGAGAGACAGGGAGACAGAAAAAAATATTTAATCTCCAGGGACAAAATATGTGCTCAAAGGCACATTTCCATGAACCTACCTCTTCCAGCCCCACCCTACCTGCCTACAGTCACCACCCAATTAATTCCTATCAGGGGATTAATGTGCTAATTAGATTAAGACTCTTATAACCCAATCATTTCATGACTAAACATTCTTATCTGACTCATGAACTTTTGGGGATGACTGTAACAGCTGGCTGTTATTATATTATATTGTGTGTTTCCTCCCCCCTTCTTTTTCTTTATACATTTTGGGAGGCAGACAGCCATATGGGCAAAATTAAAGGCATGTGTATTGTAGAGCAATCTCAATAGGAATCTACTCCATCAGCTCAAAGTGGGTTGAAATTTTCCTACCTGCAATTCTTCAGAATGCCAAACTTTGATTGCTAAATTACCATTATTGTGGTTCTAGGGATTGAATCTAGAGAAGCTTCATCCCCACCCCTTTTAATTTTTTAAAAATTTACAGACAGGGTCTTGCTAAATTGCCCAGTCTGGCCTTGAACTTGTGATTCTCCTACCTTAGCCTCCGGAGTAGCCGGGACCCCCATCCACCAAATTATTTTAAAAAGCTGTGAATCTCAAAGGTGTTAAGCAAAGCATATATAACTTTGGAATCTACTGACAAACATTATTAACACTCTTTGAATTTTATCTAGAGAAGCAATCTTTTTTTTTTTTTTGGTATTGGAGATTGATCCTAGAGGTACTTAACCTCTGAGCCACATCACCAGCCCTTTTTCATTAGAGATGTGGGTCTCATTGAGTTGCTTAGTGCCTCACTAAGTTGCTGAGGCTAGCTTTGAACTTGTGATCCTTCTGCCTCAGGCTCCTGAACCGCTGGGATTACAGGGGTGTGCCATAGTGCCCAATTTTGAGTCTGCGTTTTAAGTATATATCATGACAACAAATTATACTCAGCTATATGAAGTAAAATGCTTTTTAGTCATACTGTAGTTTAAGGCATGTAATGATAAAATTAAGAAATCTTGGGGTGGATATAGCTCAGTTGGTAGAGTGCTTGCCTTGCATGCACAAGGCCCTAGGTTCAATCCCCAGCACCACAAAAATAAACAAACAAGCAAGCAAACCCAGATTATCTCTGGTTATATATCAAAATGTTTTCTGTTAGATTGAATAAAATAAAATTAAAAACAATTTCAACTGTTTTTACTTTTGTGCCTGTGATACTGGTAATTGAACCTAAGACCAATTCATACTAGACAAGCATTCTACCACTGAACTTTTTTTTTTTTTGGTACCAGGGATTAAACCCATGGTTGCTTAACCACTGAGCCACATCCTTGCTAAACTGCTGAGGCTGGCTTTGAATTCATGATCCTTTTGCCTTAGCCTCCTGAGCCACTGGGATTGCAGGCATGTGCCACTATACCCAGCTACTGAACACTTTTTTTTTTGAGGCAGGGTCTCATTAAATTACCTAGGCTGGCCTCAAATTTATAATCCTCACTATGCATGATGGTGTGTGCCTATAATCCCAGTGATTACAGAGGCCTAGACAGGAGGAACACTTGGCAAGAAAGACCCTGTCTCAAAATAAAAACAAAAAGGGCAGGAAATGTAGAATTGTAGCTCTGTGTTCTTTGGAAGACTGCCTCTGGGTTCAATTCCAACGTGTTAAAAAAAACTTTTTTTTGATCCTCGTTTCAGCCTCCCAAGTGTTGTATGCCACCCTGTCTAGCTTCCAACTGTTTGCTTTTTAACCCATATTGTCCCATTGTTTCAGATGTATAACACACTTTAAAAAACTTATAGTACATAATCATATATCATTAATTATATATCAATATCAATAATTATTAACCAGAACTATGTAATATTAACACAACATATGGGCTCTGAATTATTATTTCCAACCTATTTTAACACGCCTGTATAAATTTCATTGAAATATGGCAGAATTGAAAACTTGGTACACAATGGATTAATGTGGCTAAAAACTTTTAGATTAATGTGGCTAGTCAGGTCATCAGACATCATTATCTATCCGATTCGTTAGTCTGAAGTGCACAAGAAAACTGAAATGCGTGGCTTGATCACACTCATAAGAATTTTATCCCTTAGTACTCTTCTGCCTCATCTTGGGCCCAGAGCAATGGAGTTGGCTGACCATGGACTGAATCTCTGAAACCATGAACCAAAATAAAACTTTCCTCCTCCAAGTTGTTCATGTCAGGTGTTTTGGTGACAAAAATCTGACTAAAATAGTGACAATATGTATGTGCTTTTTGTTATCTTCTTTTGAGAAATATCTTTTGCCTGTTTTCTAATTGGGCCATCTGTGGTTGATTGGTTTGTTGGTGCTGGAAATTGAATCCAAGGGCACTTAACCACTTAGTTATATCCCTAACCATTACTTATTGTTATTTTGGGCACTAGGGATTGAACCCTGGAGTACTTAACTGAGCCATATCCCCATCCCACATATTTTTTGAACGCTTTAAAAATTTTTCATGGCTTCATACTTTTGTAGTTATAACATCAAATTTTGGAAATAAACTCAATCTTACAAAGTTGCAAGAATGTAAATAACAGAAAATGCTTATAAGCTGTTTGCTCAGAATCACCTACCTCTACTGATGTTTCACTCCATTTGCTTTATCATTTTTGTGTTCTCTCTCCACATACACATAATTTTTTTCTGAGCTTTTGGAAAGTAAGTTGTATGTATCCAGGCCTTTTACCCTTAATACTTCAGTAATGTATTTCCTAAGAATATTCTTTTGCAAAACTACAGTAAGATTAATACTTTGGATCACACTGATGGTCTATTACAATTGTCTGTTGGGACTCAATAATGTCCTTTATAGTTTTTTACACTGCCGGTACAAAATTCAATCTAGGAGTTCTGCATTAGAATTTGTCTTTGAACTTGCACCATTATTTAGAACTGACAGCGGTTTTGATGTGTGCCTTGTCTTCACTGTAACAACACAACATCAGTATCAGTTCAGCAGTCTTTAGACCACGATAATGCTTTTATCCATGTACTCAAGAAAGGTCCCCCTTTTTCATCTTATTCTAAACCTTTTAGACAGATAGGTTGTTAGATTTATTTATGTCAGGTCTTTTTGAGATTTGGGGATACCAAAGAAATGGTTGTCTGTCACAGTTCCCATTCAGTTAGTCTGGTCACCAAATATAAACTGAGGTTCTATTCAGTGGATCAGAAACAAATGGTACACTGACCCACTTGAGCCATTATGTGTTCACTATTGTACAATACCCTAAGCCTGCAAGAATGCAAAAGACCCTTTTTGTGATTAATACCTAGGATCATAAATGTAAAACAATATTATAAAACAATTATCCCTTAGTATAAACAGTAGTTTGTGATCTATTTAATAATTGTAGCCAATAATGCTTAGCAGCATATATGGAATGCTTGTGGCTTAGTATTATCAAAGTCTACTTTTAGAGCAAAATTTAAAAAGACTTGTAAAAGGGAGAAATGAGTTGGCAAGAATGAAATCATGATGTCCATAGTTAATGTTATTTTTTTTCATACCAGGGGCTTAACCACTGAGCTACATCCCCAGACCTTTTGAAACAGGGTCTTAACAGGCTTAACAGGTTGCTTAGGCTAGCCTTGAACATCTGCTCTTTCTGCCTCAGCTTTCTGAGTAGCTGAGTTTAGAGGCTTAGGCTTATTTTAAAGGCTTCTAATTTTTCGTCTCCAAATATGTGCTGAGGGTTGGTGGTTTTCTAGGGCAATTCTTTTCCAGGACTGTCATTATCACGACAGAAGGAGACTGTTTGTTGGCTTTTAAATGTTCTCACATGAAGAGGTCATAATAATCTATGTTTTCAAGTCATATCACCCTCCCCTCCCTTATTCAGAGAGTGCAGTAAACGCCTTTGCCATAAGAGAACACAAGTTTAGCATTTCAGACACTCAAAACCTGACACAAATACTCTTCCCAAGTCTGTTACAAAAATGAGGTGGAAAAAAAAATCAAGCAAAGACTCTTCCCTTATGTTGACAGTAACTGTGGACACAGCTGCTCAATTATGTGGACACAGCTGCTCAATTACCTATTGTAATCTTTTCACTTGCACCTTATGGTTACCTATTTCTATAGTTCATTATGCACAGAGCATACCTGTGGCTACACTTTCTGCTATCTTCTTAGCTTTTTAAAGGACATAAATATTTACCATACATTATAATACAAGATATTTTTTGTGTTTCTAAGAGTTTACATCAACGTGATTCTGCAACCTGTACAATCAGAAAAATGAGAAATTATACTCCATTTGATTCAAATGTATGAACTGTCAAATCATTGTACTGTCGTGTGTAACTAATAATAATAATAATAATAAAAGAGTTTACACCAATTCTGAAACACCTGGAATACTGTTTAAAAATTAAATCTGGCACCTAGTAGCTCAACCCACTTCTATCTGCTGGAATCCCATCTATTACCCACTATCTCTGCAAACCCAACTTTCCCCTCCCCTTTCAGAGTAACAAGAAACAACAAATATTTTAAGTGTACATCATACATTTATTACCAACAACCCTCTCAACTCCAAAATTGGGCACAGGGATTAAAAATAAAAATTCATTGCACTACTTAGTAAAGCATTACTAGTAACTTTCATAAAAAATGTACAAACTTTGTTAAAAATTTATCAAGCCTTCAAATGATTTGGTTACAGATATTTATAATACGTACATTTAAAACTATATGTTAACTGATACAATGGAATATGATTTGAGGAAATGACTCAGCAAATGATTCCAACAGACACCCCTGTAGCTTTCATAATCTGAAACAATAGCAAAATGAGGTAACCAACAGGGGGAAAATAGCTTTCTAATGAAGGCCTAAAGATATCTGTGAAAAATATTCTCACAAGTGAGTTGGTAGATCTCATTCAAAATTATTACAAGAGGCCCAAACTTAAGAATCTTAAATCACATTTCAGAGAGTATATAAAATCTAAATATACTTTCACATTTTCCAGATTTTGGTTAAAAAAAAAATTTTTTTTTCCCCAGGACAAAAAATCCTTAATATGAGATCTTAATCCATGGAGGCCTTGAGTTGTTTTTTTTTTGGGGGGGTGGGAATTAAAAACAATACCAAACATGACAATTCATACCAAAAAAAACAAATAAACCAAAACCCACAAAAAAACCCCACAGCTGAGTTAAGATGGTAAAGCCAATGTTGTTTTAGGAGGAAAGAGGATAAAGGCAACAAACCAACATCTGCCTGCAATCTGGACATCACCAGTGGTAACAACTGGGCAAGAAATCAACTGTTCTTTCTCATATGCTAGACACTCACTGTGTCTAGTTGCTCACTGTGGCTAGTCTGAGCTGGTTAGAACACACACACACACACACGTGTGCTCCTAACATGCACTAACCACTTGGTAAGTAAGTCTGGACACTTCTCTAAGAGCTCCATGCAAAGACAAGGCATTCCCCAAGAGATCAGCTACAACAGTGCAACAATTAAACTCAGACCCTGCTGCCTCCTAAATTGCCAACTGCCTCTCAAAAATTTACTAGAAAAGGGACGTTACAACAGGAATTCATAGTCAGAGGAAGGGGAGAAAAAGCTACTTCTCCTGAAGTCATTAGTACAATGTGCCTTGTTAATTAGATATCTCTATATAAATTAGAAAAAGTGCTTTAACTTGCATGCTTCAGTAAAATGAATACTGAGTGTAGTAGTGTTATGTTAGATCTGTACAGATATAAATTTTTGTAGCTATATAAAAGAAGTCTATAAGATGGGTTTTTGCCATTTTAAACATGATTTTTTTAATTAAAAAAAATAAAGATAAAACTATACGTGATTTGTATGTAGCTGATTATTATATGCCAATAATTTTGGTCTTAAACATACTTTTTACTCTTCAGGAACAGGAGGGGAATTATCCTAATGATTTAACAGTAACATGTGCATTTTACCACTGTTTAGGTATATTTCTGATGCACTGACAAATCTAGGGGCAAAGTATGCAAAATCCTATTTGTATGATTAGATAGAGGCAACAGTGTCTGGAAGAGGACAAAATTGTGCTTCTGTGTGAATTGACTTTACAGAACTCTAGGCTGTGATGAGCTTATAGATTTCAAGGGAGGGCAAGCAGCATGGCAGTAACAAGTAGTTAACACTGTCTGAGTACAAAACTGACTCAGAGCCAACTGAGAGCTGAGTGAGGCTGGCAACAAGTTCTCACAGTCCCAACTAGAATAATGTAGCATGTGCTACTGCAAACAAAGCAATGACATCAACTGCAGGAGGAGGCAGACAATGCTGAATACACTATAAAAGAATGAGAAAGGAATCTAAATGTTGCTGGAAAAATGACTTTAAACAATCTGAATTTCGCTCAATGAACCTATTAAAAAAATACAGCTATGTATTATTTCAGATCAACTCAATGAGGGTCAATTCCTGTTTGACAGCATTATTTTATACAAAAATCAAATCTTCATTTATACTGCAAGTATTCTGGACATCTGTTGTATTAAGCTTTTTCTTAATCAAACAAAAATTAAAAGAGCGGCAAGACATCAAAGCAAATCAGGTCTAAGGAACACAAGCTGTCAAAGCACTTGATCCATCCTGAAACAAGGGCTTCAAAAAGAAGCACATTTACTGAGGGAAGAACTAAGACAACTTTCAGAATTGGAGCTTGGCAAGTGAATTAATATGAACAGAAAAAGTTTTCTTGAAATAATTTAGTTGCCTATGGGAGCCTGAACAAAGAACACATCGGAAATCAAGCTGAATTAACAGATTTTGTTCTGGTGGAAGTCAAAGAGGCAAGACTTCATGGGACCAGTGGTATTCTTAAAAATATATTACTCATATATCTTCAGAAAGGACTATAAATCTAAACACACACACACACACACACACACACACACACACACCTATACAAAGAAAAAATTAAAAAAATCATCACAGGTACTTTCTGTAAGAAGCTTACTGAAAATATAAAAGAAAAAAGTTACCAACATTCAAATCATTGATTGAAATGCTAATATTGCTAACAGATGATGTATGATATTGCACCTTCTTTTTGGAAACAGCAAGTTGGAGATTTAAAAATTTCTTTTCCACAACAGAATCAAAACTCAGGTTCATGGAGTGAGAATTTGTTACACTTTTTTTCTTAAGTGACCCACTTAGGACCACCAATGAAGAGAAGGTGACAGCTGCCTGAAGCAAAGGAAGAAGGCTTTTCTCATTCCATTCATTAGGAGGAAGGGATGGAGTATTCAATGCTTATAATTGATGCACCCTTAGCAACCAGTGTGCAACAGCAAACACAAGGGGAAAAACCAGTGTACAGTACTAGTGCTGTTTAAATAACACACCAGATTATACATTGCAGCATAATTAAAACTACACACACATTCTTGGTACATGCTGGTATATAGGATCTCATACACACGTTAGCTACCATGCCCTCTCACAAGTAGTTGCACACTCTCTCACACACACAGATACATTTATCAACAGTCATACGCTGCATTCATTTCCACTCACAGTTTCTGAAGGCTCTATATAAGGTAGATTGCTATATCATCTGGAGCTACCACTTTTTATAAAAGCACATGCTAAAAGATCACGTCCACTGTAATCTTGCAGCAACACTCGGAATGATCACACAAAAAACCAGGGAATGTTAGTGCACACACAAAATTAAGCTAAAGAAAAATTCTTTGGAGTTCCAATCACACGGTTAGTATAACAATCCCATAATTGTGAAGACTAATTGTAAGCTTTTATAGTTGATTAAGTCACACAGTGCAAAGAAAGGTCCATTGACCCTTTTGGTAAAGGGAGGGCTGGAAGCCACACAGATTAAGTTCAATGGATAGTCCGTATATACATGTGATGAGGAACACCCAAACTAAATTTGTGCTCTTAGGTTGGTCATTCTGAATCCCGATGCACTTCTGAAGCATCAGCTCGGCAAATTGGGCAAGTACGATTTGCCTAAAATACAAAAGAGAAACTTGTTTGCATTGTAGTTCATACAATGAAATTTATTAAAAACAAATAATATTATTTTTACTTCCAACACAAGTTTTAGACACTTTATTCTTTTAAAGAGGCACAAAGTAATCATGTGCCTTAAAACAAAACAAAAAAGAAAGAAAACAAACCTTAAAGAGTTGATTATCCCATGGATGATCTTTTTTTTGGGGGTAGCACTAGGGCTTAAATCCTGGGGGACTGAGCTCCATCCCCAGCTCACCCTTATCCCCTTTTTAATTTTGAGACAGAGTCTCGCTAAGTTGCCCAGGCTGGCCTTGAACTTGCCGTTCTTCTGCCTCAGCTTCTTGCCATAAATGATTTTTTAATATGTCTGTTTAAATACATAAACAAAATTACCCAGCACCAGTTTAGATATATTTAATAACTAACTTAAAAGTAAAGGGAGCTCTAGTGAGGCACCCTTCTAAACTAAGAGGAAACTCTGGCCTAACAAGTTCAGGTCTTATCCTTATATACTATCAGAAAATCAGGACAAGTTGATTATCAAGGGCAGATAGCCAGTTTTTAGGTTTTGTATAATCACTCCCATGTTAATCACCATAGCAACCCCATCCTCCCTGTGCTGGGAATGGAACCCAGGGCCTCATTCATGTTCTACCACTGAGTTATATCCCCAACCCCTAAGTTTCACTGGCCTTTTCTCTTCATCTGAAGAGATAATACTCTCAATGTTGTATTTCAATTTTATTTCCTATACCCATCCTCCACTAAACCACAGACTTATCTAATGAACCTATAGTCACTAAAACAGAAAATTTAGTGTTATTTCCTTTTAGATACTGTCATTTTACCTTAAGCCATTTGTCAACACACTTGGCATGGAACTCGTGGTTACAGGGTAAGACTCTAAGTAGCTGCCTTGACTCAAAATCACACATGCATACTACACACCTAAAAGAAGCAAAAAGATCAATTAAACATAAAATTGGGTGGTTTTCTATTTTGAAATGACTTCTGAAGTCTACAAAAGCCACTTAATCAGTCTCAGTTTTTTATCACTGAAATTTGTAGACAAAATAATCTATCAACCTGAAAAACAATGATGTTAAGGCATTTAGTAAGAGTGCTCTGCTTTACTGATAACTGATCAGAAAATCTCTGGCTAACATCCAAATCAAGTTTTAAAACCAAAAATACTCTTTGCACATGAAAAAATGAAGGTAGATGTCCCTTTAACCTCACACCATATATAAAAATTAACTTAGGAGGCTAGACAAGAAGATTCCAAGTTCAAAGCCAGATTCAGCAATTTAGCAATGTCCTAAGTAAGACTCTTGTCTCAAAATAAAAAAAATAAAAAGGGCTGGTGCTGAGCATGGTGATACACACCTGTAATCCCAGCATCTCAGGAGGCTAAAGTAGGAGGGCTGCAAGATCAAAGCCAGCCTCAACAACTCAGTGAGGCCCTAAGCAACCTAGTGAGACCCTGTCTCAAAATAAAAACATTAAAACACACACACACACACACACACACACACACACACATAAAAAAAAAAGGCAAGTGGATGCTGGGGATGTGGTTCAGTGGTTAAGCACCTCCAGGTTTAATCCCTAGTACCAAACACACACACACACACACACACACACACAAAAAAAAAAAGGAAATTTTAAAAATGCTCAACAGTAACAGGCACCAGGGAAAGGAAAATTAAAATCTCAGTGTGATACAATTTCAAAGTCACTAGGACAATATGATAAAAACAGACAATAACAAATGCTGGCAAAAATGCAGTGAAATTGAAACCTTTTTATACAGTGTTGGTAGAAATAGAAAATGGTGCAACCAACTTTGCAAAAACTGGCAGTTCTCAAAAAGTCAAACACAGTTACAATATGACATCCAACAATTCATTTCCAGGTATATATCCAAAATTAAAACATTATATTCACAGAAAAACCTGTACACATATGTTCAAAGTAGCATTACTCATAAGAGCCCCAAAGTGGAAACAACACAAATGTATATCAACTGAAGAAAAGGATAAACAACATGTAGTGATCCACAAATGGAATATTATTTGGCCACAAAAAGGAGTGACTTACTGATAAAGCTACAACACAAAGGTACTTTGAAAAAGTTATGCTAAGTTAAAGAAGCCAGATACAAAAAGACCACATATTATATAATCTCATTTATGTGAAAGCTATGGAGACAAAGGGTTAGGGGGTGTGTCAAGATAGAGAAGGCTAGGGAGATAAGGGGAGTGGCTACAAGTGGGTGAAGGATTTCTTTTGGGGGTGATAAAAAGGATGTAAATTTGTGGTGATGGATATACAATTCTACTAATACAATAAAATTCACTGAATTGTATATTTTAAATGGGTGAACTTTGCATTTCATGTTCTACATTAACACCTTTAAATATAGCAGTCAGTATCTAGTATGCCTAAGAAATTAATTATTTATCTATGTATTGATCTATTTATCTGACAGTACTCTAGTCTAGCCCAGGGCCTCACATATGCTAGTAGTTAAGTGCTCTATCACTGAGGCTTAAATCCCCATCCCGTTTTAAAATTTTACTTTCAGACAGGGTCTAAACAATTTGCCCAAGGCTGGCTTTGAACTTGTGAATCTCCTGCCTCAGCCTCCTGAGTAGCTTGGGTCACAGGTGTGTGTGTGCACACCACAAACCCAGGAAGAAATTTAACACTTTCACTGAATTTAAATAGCTCCACAATTAGTGGCTACCTTACTGGTCAGCATAGACCCAGAGTATGAAAAAGAGATAACTTATCTTTATATCAAGTTCTGAGTCTCAAGCTTTTATTTCATGAAATTTTTCTTTAAAGAAAAAAAGTTAACACATATATTAGAAAAAAATATACTTACAAAGTCTGTTCTGACTGGTGATTGTTAGGATTAAACCGATAAGAAGGAAGTTGTTCAATATCTGCTTTAGTCAGTCCTCGAGGTTTAGCCTCTCCCAGTCGCTCTGCCAGGTTTAAAAGGGCCTGTAGAGAAAAGACAGGGCTATTTGCTCAGGCTGGCCTCAAACTTGTGATCTTTTTTTTTGGTACTGGAGATTAAACCTAGGGGTGCTTAACAAGTGGCTTGTGAATTGTGCCCAGCCAGACTGCGGCAGCTTTGCTAAGTTGCTTAGGGCCTTGCTAAGGTACTGAGGCTGGCTTTTGAACTTGCCATCCTCCTGCCTCAGTCTCCCAAATCACTAGGGATTACAGGTGTGTAAAATGGCACCAGGCTTCTCCCAGTTTTTAATGACTAATTAGCTATTTTCTTTATTCTATAATTAGGCTGCCTTATGGTTAAGGGAACAGGAAACAAAGAATTAGAAATGGGCAATGAGAGGAATAGAATTAATTTCCATATCTAATGCTGGTATAGCTCTGTGTGTGTTTTAAGACAATAATCACAGCTTTGCTTTTTGACAGCCTTATTTGGAGAATTGGGTCATCTGAATAAATATCTGCCTTTCACTGCTATACTCAACCCTTCTAAACGCTATAACACATTAAGTCTAACTGAGGCTGATTATAAAATCAGCATAAAAAATTTAGATCAAATTCATGATAGAGTTGATATGCATCTTAACACCTCTATTGTTATGTATTATAGGATATAGTATGTCCTATATAGTATATAATTGTATGACAATAAAATATCCTCATTCATTCCTTAGTGGATACAGAGTGATGATCAAGCCCTCCAAAAATTTACATGATGCAACAGGCAAGACAACTGAAGGCAAGACATGATTAGTGCTTAAATCTCAGTAGAACAAAAAGAGAGAACTCGTTTGGACCCAGGAAATAGATTAGAAATGTTGTTCACAGGGCCAGGGTTGTGGCTCAGTAGTAGAGAACTTGCATAGTTATGTGTGAGGCCCTGGGTTCAATTATCAGTACTGCATATAAATAAATGTTAAAAAAAAAAAAAAGAAATGATAATCACAAAGATGGCGGTTTTTATGCTATATTTCCAAAACATAGAGAAATGGAGAAAGATCTTAGCTGAAGGATCAAGGGAAGTAAAGGTACCAAGACAAGAACATGTAGGGTAGACTGGGCATGTAGGGACTTGGAGTGGGGAAGCCATCTGGATCGAGCCAGTGAGCCAGGGCTGGGGAGTGTTCAACAGCTACACTATGACATACAACTAAAAAGGCAAGTAAGGCCTTTTTGATTGGTTGTAAGTATGACTTTGAAGAATATCAAAATATTCAACCCAAAAATACAGTTTAGAAAGGAATTTCAAAGTCAAAATAAGATATTTTTCCATTTTTGGTACTGGGGGTTGAACTCAGGGGCACTCAATCACCGAGCCACATCCCCAGGGTTTCACTGAGTTGCTTAGTGCCTTGAAATTGCTGAGGCTGGCTTTGAACTTCTGTCTCAGCCTCCTGAGCCATTGGGATTACAGGCATGTGCCCAGCTAAGTCAAAATAAGATATATATTTTTAAATATATATTTTTAGTTGTATATGAACACAATACCTTTATTTGGTTTATTTATTTTTATGTGGTGCTAAGGATCGAACCAAGTGCCTCACACATGCAAGGCAAGTGCTCTACCGCTGAGCCCCAGCCCCAGCCCATATATTTTTCTTATATGACAACTGTACCACTACTTTTCTATTGATATATACATGATCAGCTATCTTTTTCAGCAATATGATTTAAGACAGGTTGATTTTAATAAAGATAAGCCACTTGTAGATATTGCTGTAATGCAAATGGTAGAAATAAAATGAGAAAATTATGAATGCCTCTTTTAATTTCAAGAAATGAAATTTATATGGTATATGTTTATATGGCATATGTTTAGAATCCCAGCAATTTGGGAGGCTGAGGCAGAAAGATTCCAAGTTCAAGGTCACTCAGCAACTCATATGAGATCCTGTCTCAAAGTAAAAAGGGGAGGGGATGTAGCTCTGTGGCAGAGTACTAATAAATAAATGCAAACAAAATAAAATTAAAAAGGGGTTGGGAATGCAGCTCATTGGTAGAGTGCTTCCACAGCATGTGCAGGGGGGCCCTGTATTCAATCCCAGTACTAAAAAAAAAAAAAAAAAAAAAAGGGGCAGTTTAAGATCATGACTCCTTCTCCATGCCCACATTCAATACACCTAAAAACTGTTCCAGCATTCATAAAATGAAAAAGACAAAGTGAAGTTGAGATAAGAAGGATGGCTGGCAGTATCAAATTAAGGTCAAAATTACTTCCACTCAACATATTCAAATCTAAATTTGCCTGTTAACCCTCAAACCACATCTGTTATGTTCCTATAGCAAGATCAACATTATTTAAATGCCAACTATTTGGCCCACTGGCATTTTGGTGTCTGCCTTCTTCATGGGCTAATACAGTCCTTTTTGTAGAGCATCATCTTTTGCAATTTTTGTACACTTACCCCTGAACACCACAATTAACCATTCAAGATAAAATCCTACTGATTGAAGTGTTAAAACATCTTTCAAAGCTGTACTTTCTTTTATTGTATGTATTTAAAGTACACAATATGATCATTTGATATATACACAGTGAAATGATTACCACTGTCAAGCAAATTAACCTATCCATCACTTTCCACTTCTTTTTGAGTTTTTTTTTAGTTTGAGTGCCTAAAATCTATTTTCTTAGCAAGTTTACAATTAACAATACAATATTACTAACCACAGTCCTCATGCTATCTACCCCTAAACCTACCCTATCAAATGGCAAGTCTATATATACTTCCCTCTTTACCTCCATAACCAACACTCTACTATTTGACATTTTAAGACTCCTCATGTAAAAAAGATCAGTATTTCTTGCCCCCTCTATATTTCACTTGCCATAATATTTTTCAGATTCATGTTGTCAAATAGCAGCATTTCCCATTTATGGCGGAATAATATTCCACTCTGGTGCCAATTTTCTGTAGCTACACATACCCCAGCAGAAGGATTGCTGGGCCATACTGCTGACAGTCCCTTTTTTAATTTGTTTTTCCTTATGGCTGTACCAATTTACATTTCCACCAACAATATATAAGGATTCTCCTTACTCCGCACCCTATCAATACTTACTTACTTTATTTGATAATAGCCATACCAACAGGTGTGAAGATACATCTCACTGTGATTTTGATTTACACTTCTCTCATAATCAGTGATGTTGAGCACCACTAGTCATTCTTTTGAGAAATACCCATTCAAGTCCATTTTTAATCATGTTATTCAGTTTTGCCTATTGTTGTGAAAGCTACTTATATATTCTGGATATTAATCCTGTATCAAATTGTACAGTTTGTACATATTTTTTCCTACTCCATAGAGTACCTTTCTCAGTTTTCTGATACCACTTCCATCTATTCTTTCATACTGCTAACAGAGTTTTGACTTTTTAAGAGATATGATGCCATAAATACACCAAAAACATTTAGCATGGTACTCAAGGACATCTAATTGAGCTTTTCAATCAAATCTCTGTTTTCTCTCTTTCACTTTAGACACAAACTACGTACGCTAGTCCTCAAGACTTCCCTGCCTCAATCTTACGAATGAAAAAGTTTCCTCATTCTTTAAGATCCAGTTCTCAAACACTTCTACTTCCACAAAATCCTTTTGGAACATCTCAACATCAAAACTTCCCCTGTTCTCATTTGCATTCTCTCAATAGAACTGTGTATAACTCTAACAGAGCATCAAAAGTCTACCTACTTGATACAGATTTATGGCACGTGATCAAATTAGATGTAGAACACTTTTATGACAAATTTGTATCTTGAAATGCAGTGTTTATCTAATGTTTAGATGGTGATTAGAACAATATTTTCAAGACACAATAATCCCCCAATTAATTCACAATTCATCTACTGACCTCATAATTTTCTACTTCTCCATCTTCCACATCCAATTCAAAGCTGAAAGTTGGGCCCACTGCAGGTGGCACTGGAAGCATTGATCTGCAGTGAAAATAACAGTGATATGTTAGTAAATTCAATGACAGGACAGGAAGGACAAAGCCCAGTGCAACCCTTTATAAATATTAACTTTGCTAGCAACAACAACAAAAAAGATGATAGCAAAGCACACTATTTACAACAGTATTAAAAAACATATATGGGGGCTGAGGTTGTGGCTCAGCGATGGAGTGGTTGCTTAGCACATGCGAGGCCCTGGGTTAGATCCTCAGCACCACATAAAAACAAATAAATAAAGATATTATTATCATCTACAACTAATAAGTAAATAAATATTAAAAAACATAAATGTAAGGATAAATTTCATAAAACATACAAGACTGTGCAATACCAACTGCATAAATACTATTAGGATAAACAGCAATTTATCTTGTCAGTAGACTAGAGGTCTCAAAATTAACTGTTAAAATATCAATTTCCCTTCAAATTGATCTGCAAATTCAATATAATCCCAATCAAAACCTAGGAAGATTTTTTTTTTCTTTTTAAAGTAGAAATACACTGAATTTTAAAATTTATATGAAAGTGCAAAAGATCTTAAATTGAAAAATTCTAAGAACAAGCCAGGATACTTACATGAAAGACAAAGATAAAGGGGAGGGAAGAGGAACGGGTAATAGGAAAGCAGCTAAAACTATCTGAACAGGACTGGGGTAGTAGCTCAGTGGTAGAGCACTGGCTTAGCAAGTGTGAGGCCTGGGTTAGTTTCTTAGAACCACATAAAAATAAATAAATAAGCGGCTGGGATTGTGGCTCAGCGGTAGAGCGCTCGCCTGGCATGTACGAGGCCCTGGATTCAAACCTCAGCACCATATAAAAACAAATAAATAAAGATATTGTGTCCAGTTACAACTAAAAAAAAAAAAAATTTAAAATAAATAAATAAATAAAATTCACTATGTCCATCTACAACTAAGGAAAAAAAAATATATATAAAAATAATCAGAACAAGGTGATACAGGAATGCAGTCTTCTGGTGTAACAAGTACATTTCCTACCTTTCTATGCTAATTGAAGCTAGCCAATCCCTAAAAAACAAATGCCAAATGTCTTCTTTGATATAAGGAGAGTAACTAAGAACAGAGTAGGAACGAAGAGCATGAGAAGATGATTAACATTAAACAGGGATGAGAGGTGGGAGGGAAAGGGAGAGAGAAGGGAAATTGCATGGAAATGGAAGGAGACCCTCAGGGTTATACAAAATTACATACAAGAGGAAGTGAGGGGAAAGGGAAAAATAATACAAGGGGGAGAAATGAATGACAGTAGAGGGGGTAGAGAGAGAAGAGGGGAGGGGAGGGGAGGGGAGGGGGGATAGTAGAGGATAGGAAAGGCAGCAGAATACAACAGACACTAGTATGGCAACATGTAAATCAATGGATGTGTAACTGATATGATTCTGCAATCTGTATACGGGGTAAAAATGGGAGTTCATAACCCACTTGAATCAAAGTGTGAAATATGATATGTCAAGAACTATGTAATGATTTGAACAACCAACAATAAAAAATTTAAAAAAAAAAAAGGTAATTATAGACATGTGAATAAGTTCTGGCTAATGGAATATAGGGAGTAATATGTGCTGTGCTACATTTAGGAAATATCCTGGGAAAAGCAGGTATGCAGAGGGACTCTTTTTCATTTTTGCTAGCTAGGAAATGTACATGATGACTAAAATCAGAGGAGCCAGGTTAGATCATGTAGTCCCAAGATTATAATAGCAGAACCATTTCTCACAGTCACAGGGCTAACAAATCACCCTGAATTTGCCTACTGCTAGACTTCAATATGCAAAAGAGAAAAAACAATCATATTTAACCCATGAGTATTTATTACAGGTAAATCTAATCCTAAGACACACAGATAATTCCTAGTCTCCTTTCCCATAAGAGAAATAGCACCAAAAGCTAGATAATCAAAAGTGATAGGAAGTGATGCTAGCTGTTTAAAAAAAAAAAAGAAAAGAAAAAAGGCAAAGAACTTCCACTTCTTAATTTATTAAACCTATATTTTTTGGCTCAGAGATATCTTTTCCCCCATTTTCCCCATGTCCTTGGCTCTTTCTTTACTCTTAATGGCTTCCTGACCTCAACCCCCTTAAGTAAAAGCAATATCTAATTAAATGATGAGTCTGTACAGGATTCATAAAGGAAAGAATCTCAAGGTTTTCAAAACTTAGAATTCAATAAAATAAGAAAGAACTTACAACACATATGGCAGTAAGCTGGGATGATAAGGGGGAGGCGGTATTGGCTGCTGAGATCGATATCTACTACGTCCTGTGAGCCTCCGAGGCATAAATGGAGGATAAGGCTGCAGGGAAAAAAGCGTTCAAAGAATTTAAGATCATTCTACATATACAAATAATATATGAAATAAAGATTGTTAAAATGTAGAAAGCTGTTCACTGTTCAAGTGGCATTTAATATTTCTTAAATGTTAACACAGATGTAATAACCAGTTTAAACCATACACTTAGGTGCATTTCTAAATATAAATGCTAGCAAGAATACATTTAAAAGCTGGGGCTGAAGCTCAGTGGTAGAGCACTTGCCTAGCATGAATGAGGCATTGGGTTCGATCCTGAGCACCACATAAAAATAAACAAATAAACAGAGGCATTCTGTCCATCTACATCTACAAAAAAAAAAAAAAAATTTTTTTTTTTTTTTTTTTTTTTTAAGAATACATTTAAGGGGTGGGCTGTAGCTGAGTGGCAGAGTGCTTGCCTTAGCACACATGAGACACTGGGTTCGATCCTCAGCACCAAAAATAAATAAATAAATAAATAAATAAATAAATAAAATCTTAAAGAAAATAGGCTGGGTGCAGTGGTGCATGCTTGTAATCCCAGCGGCAGGAGGATCGAGTTCAAAGCCAGCCTCAGCAATTTAGTGAGGTGCTAAGCAACTCAGTGAGACGTCTCCCAGTAAAATACAAAATAGGTCTGGGGATGTAGCTCAGTGGTCGAGTGCCCTGAGTTCAATCCCTAGTACCCCTACCCCCCCAAAATAAATACAAATAAAAAAATAAAGTCATTCTGTCCAGTGACAAAAAAAAAAAAAAAAAAAGCATTTAAACTTCTGAACATGTTGAGAGCTACACACTGATACACCTCAAATAGTTTGTCATAGTAATGCATAAAAACTTACTACTCCAAAGGACACCTCCTGATGCAAAGGATCATGTGTCAAGAACTGCAAAGGAGCTGATGGAGGTAATGTTGGGGGATGGGCTGATGGGGGATAAGTAAAACTTCCTACTTGAAGATGTTCTCCTAAGAGTTCCACTTCATTTTCTATCCTCTGCAGAGGCTGTAGAGAGAAAAGGAAAAAAAAAAAAAAAAATTATGTATATAATTCTAGTGTTCAGATAGAATGTAGACAAATTTTTTTAATAATCAAAACTAAGAATCCAAAAATATCTTTCTGGGGGAGGGGGTATTGTGTATTGAACCCAGGGATGCATTGCTACTGAGCTATATATCTCAGCTCTTTTTAATTTCGAGTCAGGGTCTAAGTTGCTTATGGCCTAAGATGCTGAGGCTAGCCTCAAACCTGCAATCCTCCCATCTCAGCGTCTTGAGTTGCTGGAATTATAGACATGTGCCACCGAACCCAGCACAATCCAAAAAAATATCGTTAAGGCCATACATCTATTTTTCCCTCCCCTACCCAGTGCAAGAGATTCAATCCAGGGCTTTGCACATGCTACACTCCTAGCCCAAGGCCATCTATCTCCTGATGTTCACACATCATTCTAAAATCCACACAAGTGGAAATAAATTATAGTAAAATCTTTCTACCATCAATTTCAATAGAAAATCTCTGAAACAAATTTTTAAAGGATTTTCATTACAGGATTTATTTCATTTACTATTTGAACATTCTCTTAAAACAAGAAAAAAAAGTCACATACTAAGTCAATTTAAGTTAAAATTACTTTTTCAGTTGTGTCATTCAGATCTATGGAAGTATTTCCAGACAACCTCTCTCGGATGAAATAGAACATGGTATGTATTCATAAGTCAGAAAACAGGGCTAAATGCTGGGCATGGTGGCACACACCTGAAATCTGAGAGACTCAGAAGGCTAACCTTAGCATATTAGCAAGACCCTGTTCTCAAAATAAAAAGCTCTGAGGATACAACTCAGTGGTAGAGCACCCCTGGGAAAGGGGGAAAAAAAAAAAAAGAAAGAAAGAAACAGGGCTAAATGCAATGAAGTACAGTAGCATTATGCTATAGTAAAAAGACTACAGGCTTTTTGACATTAGAATCTTGGCACTGTCACCAATCAGCCATGTGACTTAATCCACACCTCAGTATTGTAATTTATAAAACTGACAGGATGAAATGTTCACAACATACTTCTAAAGTATACTGTGAAGCCAGGTGTAGTGGTGCATGCCTGTAATGTCAGTGACTTGGGAAGCGGAAGGTAGGAAGATCAAAAGTTCAAGGCCAGTTTCAGTAACATAGTGAGGACTTCAGAAACTTAGACCCTGTCTTTAAAATAAACAAACAAACAAATAAATAAGGGCTGGGTTATGTAGCTCAGTGGTTGAAGGCCCTGGGTTAAATCCCCTCTACCCCCATCCCAAAGTCTATTTTGAACAAAGCCAATGTACGCTATGCGCTATTCCAACCACATAGGACATTTATTGGAATATAATTAACACAACTTTAAAAGAAGTACAACTCAATGGACTTGGGTCATCCATCTTGTAGACTGCATCAACACTTCATTCTGTTTTAAGGTTCAACAGTATTCCATTGTATGGAAACATCATTCATCCATTTATCAGTGGATAGACATCTTGACTCTCTTGACTTTTTAGCTACTGGGAATAATGTTGCTGTAAACATGTACACATTTATGTGATGATGTTTTAAATTCAATTCTCTTGGGCAAATATATAATTTTACATGTTACTTTGACTCCTTTCAAAGCTCAGTTACAGAATAAGCAACAATTACTAATACTTTAATTTGGAAGTTTATGCATACTTGAGAAAAATCACAACTACTTACACTATGACAATACCAATGAACCTAAGTTCTACTTTGGTTTTATGACTGAACCTTTCAAAGAATTCCAAACTTAAATACAAGTGACAAAATTTTACTTAAACCTCAAATTCCCAGATACAGGAGGACTAAGTAGGAGGATAATTTAGGCATGAACCCTATTCTAATTCCAGGAAAAGATTTTTTTAAAATATATTTATTTTTGGTTATAACAATATCTTTTATTTTTATGTGGTGCTGAAGATCGAACCCAGTGAGTGCCTCATGCATGGTAGGCGAGTGCTCTACCTCTGAGCCACAACCCCAGCCGGAGAAAAGATTTTCTTATAGAAGCAGTTTTAACTTTTCAGATGAGCCAAACTTCAATCATAATTGTTTCTATACTTTTCAGGAGAACTAAGAGGTTAAGTGAGTTCACCTTCTTTGGTACTCAGAATGGTGCATAACTCCTTAGTAACAATTGTTAGGTTCTGCTATCCAAGACGGTTAGATTCCTTTCACAGAACTGAACCGAAATCTTTAAAACAAACAATTTCCACAGGTTATTTTTTCCAATTTTCCCTTAATGCTTAATGGTTTACATGCCAAGTTTGGCCTGACCAAAAACCATTTGGATCTTTTCATTTCTGGTGGTAATAGGGAACCCAGGGGGGCTCAGCCACTGAGCTCTACCTGCAGACAATTTTTGCTTATTTATTTATTATTATTGTTATTATTATTTTGGTACCAAGGATTTAACGCAGGAGCACTTTACCACTGAGACACATCCCTAGTCCTTTTTATTTTTTTGAGGTAGGACTTCACTAAGTTGCTGAAGCTGGGATCAAACTTGCAATCCTCCTACCTCAGCTTCCAGTCACTGAGATTATAGGCATGTGCTCCACACCCAGCTATCTACCTGCAGCCCTTTTTAAAATTTAAAATTTTAAAAATAAATTTAAAATTTATTTTTCAGACAGGGTCTTGCTAAGTTGTTGATACTGGACTTGAAACTGTGATCCACCTGCCTCAGTCTCCAAAAATTGCTGGAATTTAGGCATGTGTCACCACACCTGGCACAAATGGAATTTTTTCCTGTGTCCTTCTTTTTATTTATACAATGTTTTCCCATGCTAGACCCCACACCCGCAAATAATGTGCCTCTCAGCTATATTCTAATCCCAAGACAGAATTAACTATTTCATTTGCTTTTCATCAGAACATAGAAAAGCAGGCCCTCAGAAAAAAAATAACTGAGACTTAGAATTTAATTTACATGTCTAAATAAATATAAATATTCTAACAAGCAATAATTTCACAATATTTTCAATTTAGGTATATATATTTTTTCAATTTAGACTTAGAAGTTAATTTACATGCCTCAATGAATACAAATATTCTAACAAGTATTAATTTCACAATATTTCAATTTAGAGATATAAAGGTAAAACAGCGCAACTAAGGTTTTCTTCAGATTTATGTCCTAAAGGAATGCAATTTGACAAAGGACAGTAAAATAACTAGGAAAAAAAAATAAGAAATCAGGTTAATTCAAGGTTTATATTATTTTTTTGTTTGCAGATTCCTTTAATTCTTTTAAGAACCATAAAAATAGCTAAGTTACAGTGTTTAAGTGGCAATAACCCACTAAATTTTTCTGCCAGGTCTAAATATTCTGGGAAAATTAAAAACACAAGATACCTACCGAACGTGATTGCTGTGTTTGGAAAGGGACAAACTGGCCTGGTGGTGGCAAATGAGGAGGATGATGGGGAGAAAGGTGAGGAGGATGTATAAGAAATGGATCACTAGAAATGAGAGGTGGGAATGCAGCATATGGTACTGGCAAGTGCTGAACTGAACATGCCTGAAGCATCTGTAAGAAAAATTATTTTCTGGTTAAATATATCCAAATATATAATTAATTTTTTAAAAAGATACAATGTGATTAAAATCATTGCCATATTTCCCCCCAAATCATACAAAACATTTTAAATAACATTAAAAATAAAATACTTCTGTATTTTTGCATCTATCAGTATTAGTCAGAATATATAATTAGTTTTTTTAAAAGATACAACAGCATTCAAATTATTGCCATACCTCCCCCAAAATCATACAAAATATTTTTAATAACTTCTATTAAAAATCCTACTATATTTTTGTATCTATTAGTAAGTTACTATACTGATAAACTCATTTTAAATAATCTATTTTACATAGTTCTTCCAAATCAATTAAAATGCCTCTTGGGTTTTTTTAAATACTCATGAAATAGAAGGGTAGATACTATACAGAAAAGAAACCTCATTCTAGTCCTTTTAATATGTAGAAGACATTACTGTATTCTAAGAAGTTCTGTTTTTTCAATCTTGTAGAAATTTTTCTTTCTAGGGCCTTTTCTTATTAAAAATTTTTTTTTGTCTGGGCAGTACTAGAGATTGAACTCAGTGGTTCATGTGTGTTAGGCTCTACCTCTAAGCTACATCCAAGCTTGTTTTATAAGAGCACAACTTACAACTGCTTTATGGTTTGTATGTTGGCTGACAATGTTCTTACTGAGAAACCAAGTTTGGGTGAATTAATCTATTAAACTGGTACTAGGATATGTATATTTGCTTTAATCTCACATTCAGACCAGGTATTAGAATTATAGTTAGAATTTATTTATTTTTTGCCAAATGCTTTCCTTTAAAAACATTATTGATGTTAGTTAAATTATTTAGAGCCTCTGAATTTCAGCACCTTCATTTGTGAAATAGGTTGGACTGTACTTGGTCACATAAACTTCAGAGGCAAAAAGTAGTGGGTGTCAATCACTTTTTAGATTCAACATCTAGAAAATAGAGATGATAACTATTTCTATCACAGGGACCAGGCACTCAAAGTACCCATTAAAATCATTGCCCATAGGTGTTGACACTATTAACTGTTGAACATTATAGTGTCTGAGACTTAAGCCAACCTTTATCTATTTTGTTTTTTGGAGAAGGGGGAACTGAAGATTGAATTTAGGTGCTTTATCACTGAGCTACATTCTCAAACCTTTTCTTTTTTTTTTCTTTTTAAGACGGGGGGGGGGGGGGGGGGGGTCTCATTAAGTTGCCAAGGCCCAAAACTTGCAATCCTCTTGCCTCAGCCTCTCAAGTCACTGGGACTACAGGCAGGCATCATGAACCTGGCTTTATCTAGCTTTAATTATAAACAGTGTTTACATAGGAAGAAATACGGTTTGACAAGATATTCAATTAAATGTAAAATTTAAAATTCTGATTTAAAAAACACGATGTTTTAAAGCTACTTTTATTAAATGGTTACTAAAACCATGTTTTTGAGATTTTTTACTTGTAAGAGAAGCTACAAAGATACTCTCAAATTTGTTTGCTTATGTAATACACATAGCCATTTTAAAAAGGGATTTGAGTAGTAAATGACAAATCCAAACACAGGTTGGTGTTTAACAGTTAAGATCTAATGAAAAGAAAGGCACAGACTTACTGGAGGAGGCACACTACAGACAGGGAGGTGTTGTCCACTGAAAACCACAGAGCATCCTGGGACCTGTTGTGTATTGCAAGCAGGAATGTGCTGGCCTGTGCAGAGTGGAATCCCATGTGGTGCCACTGTTGTTACTGTATAGGAAACAGGGACTGTTCCTTGATGGAGCTATTAGGGAAGAAAAATAAAACTTTAGCTATTTGGCTATAATGTTAATTATTAGAAATTAATATTTGGATATATATTAATTCTCCTTCTCAGATGCACAGGTTTTCATAATGTACTTCCTCCAGCAGTTTCAACCAGGATATACATGGCCTTTGTACAGGAAAGCTGACTATTCTAAGAATATATATGACCCTGGAAGAACTAGGGCTAAACTTTTCCCTCAAAGAGACTTGAAAAGCTCAGAGTAATCTAAAGTTATAATAAATCTTCCAGCATGCCATGTAGAGCAGAAAACTTCTAAAAGGATAAACTTGTAAAAATGATAGTTTGTATACCTGGTTATAGTCGATGGAAAAAGATATTTAATTCCAACTAGTGAAACAAAAGAAAATACTATTAAAAAATTATTTGGGATGGGGATATAGTTCAGCCATACAGGATTTGCCTAGCACATGCAAGGCTCTGAGACCATTCCCCAGCACTGACCCCCAATATACACATAAAATTATCTCCTTGTAGCCAACTTTAGTCCCATCTTCCCCACCCTGAGGGCAAATAATGTTAATAACATATCCTCTTTCTCCATGAGCATATAAACATCTACAGTCATGCATATTGTTTTAACAGAAAATAAGTCATATTTCCCCTTTTCACTTAATTTTGTACCATAGATATGTATTCAACTTGTTTCTCTTGAGACTAGCCTTTGTTTTATTTGTTCTTATTTTTTTTAGTTCTGGCATTTGAACCCAGGTCCTTGAGCATGCTAGGAATGGGTTCTACCACTGAGCTATATCCCTAGCCCCTAGCACACCCGGTTAACAAAGTCCTATCATATGATGATAATAGACATTTGAGTTGCTTTCACACTTTTGACAATACAAATGACTATTAAAAAAAAATACTACTTTATAGTACTGGTAGTTTTATTTATCTCAGAGGCACTACTGGGTAAAGGAGTGATGCTTTTAAAGATACTGTCAAAGCAGCCAAGCATGGTGGTACACACCTGTAATCCCAGTTACTTGGGAGGCCAAGGTAGGAGAATTACAAAATTAAGATCAGCCTTGGCAAGTTGACATGACTCTGCCTCAATCAATCAATCAATCAATCAATAAAAGGGCAGGGGATTTAGCTTAGTGGTAGAGTATCCCTGAGTTCAATCTCCAGTATGGGGGGAAAAAAAAACACAGATTTGAGGAAGTCATTCTCTCAGCAGTAGCATATGAGGACCCAATTCCCAGCATCTCTATTCAAAGATAAATTATTTGTATTAGAAACATGTTTACATATCCAGAAGGTGGAAACAAGCTATTTGTATGCTTGCCTCAAACTGGCACTCCTCTGATTAGAGAGGACGAACTTCTTTCAACACAGTTTATTACCATGTAGATTTTTTCTATAAATAATCTATATATCCTTTGCTCACTGCCCGTTTTCTAGTTTGTCATAACCATTTTTAGTTTTGTTTTATTGTTTGTAGCCAAAATATATTCCCAGTCTATTGTTAGTTTTGTTCTATTGTCGTTTGTAGCTAAAATATATTTCCAGTCTATTTTACCTTTGCTCCTAAAATTTAACTGAATTAAAATTTATATTATTTTACAAAGTATTCAACTTTATATTAACCTTTTTATCTAGGAAAATTACACAACTATAGTCTTGTCCTTCAGAAATTAGTATTCTTTGTAAAATAGATTTATTATTATTTATTTATACAATTTATTTATTTATTTGGGGTGGTATTGGGGATTAAATCCAGGATCTCATGCATGCTAGGTAAGCACTTTACCACTAAACTAAAACCCCTAGCTAGATGTATTATTCTTTATTAAATTTGCCAAAGTTCTTTTTAAATTCAAAGTTTTGTTATATTGTATTTTTCTCTATTTGCATGTCAAATCCATTTAGTTTTTGTACTAAGATACTGATTTGCATTTATGTATCTGAAATCTAGCAAACCTTAGCTACTATTTTTAAAAACTAGAGGGCTAAGGATGGAGCTCAATAGTAGAGAACTTGCCTAGCACGCATGAGGCCCTGAGTGCAACAATCAAACAACTAACTCCCCCCAATTAGATATTTTTCCTTTCTTATATCTGCTAAGAGTTAACTCAATTATTTAATTTTCTTGTCCTTTTTAAATATATACATATATTTTTTTAAATCCATTTTTAAATTTTTTTTTTTAGTTGTAGATGAACACAATCTTTTATTTATTTACTTTTATGTGGTGCTGAGGATCAAACCCAGGGTCTCACATGTGCTAGGTGATTGCTTTTACCACCAAAATACGACCCCAGCCCTTAAATATATTTTGAAAGTTCTATCTTGGGGCTGGGATGTGGCTCAAGCAGTAGCACGCTCGCCTGGCATGTGCGGGGCGCTGGGTTCGATCCTTAGCACCACGTAAAAATAAAATAAAGATGTTGTGTCCACCGAAAAACTAAAAAATAAATATTAAAAAAAAATTCTCTCTCAAAAAAAGTTATATCTTACTATAGAGATAAATACATAAATATAGAAAACTTATATATACCTATCCTATATTTGACTTTAATGGAAATTATAAATTTTACTAATAAAAATTGACTGATTTCTGATACTTTGCCATAGTTTAAATATATTTCATTGAATCTCATGTCAATCATATCATGACTATTTTTTTAGTGTACTAAGAAAAATATTCCCAATTATGTGATATGACTTTATCACAGAAATTTTATATTTATAAATTTGTTAAAGGCATTGTAATAGAGACAACAGTTGTGTGTTCATAAAAAGGCAATTATAAGTAAAATAAAGTGGTTAGTCAATACTTCTTCACTTTTAGAGTCTGACTGTACTGAGTCACTTTTCCTCTCAATGTATATGTTTTTTCCAGAAGAAGGTTAGTGCCATCAAGGAGGTTGGTAATGCATCATTTCTTAAAACGATCAATAAAAGAAATAAAGGCTACTTGGTCCAGATTCTTTAGTCAGGTTTGTAATTATGTAGACTTGTCTACTTTTAACTTGTGCTTGGAGAATGAAGTTAACTCACCTCTCCCTAAAACACAGATTTGATGTTGGAACAAGCAAAAGCAATGACAACTATGTTATAAACTGCTGCCTGGCTGACGCCAAATTAAAATGCTGTTAATTGTTAATCCAAACTTTAGAATGTTAAAAAATGAAACAGTATATTTTGGAATCAATAAAATATAACACACACCAAGATCCCCATGGAGTTCCATAAGAGATCCTTCCCAAAGTGACTTCACAGCCACTCCCTAATAACCTTGTCAAAGTAACCAATCCTGACTTTTGTGGTAATCTGTTTCTTTTAATGTCTGTACCACACCTAAATATACCTCCCCCCATAGTCTTGTGTTGATTGAATATATTTTAACTGCCTTCATGGTGACTATTTTTTCTAAAACAAAGACACAAAGTGTTGGGAAGTGATATTGACCAAGTTACGTTGTTACATTGTATGCAAGTACAAATGTGTAAAAACAAATCTCATCATTATGTACAACTATAATACACCAATAAAAAATGTGGGAAAAAAACAACTGTGGGGCTGGTGTTGTAGCTTAGTGGTAGAGTACTTGCCTGGCACATGTTAGGCACACTGGTTTCAATCCTTAGCACCACATTTAAAAAACAAAAACAAATGACAACTGTGGATATGTATACTCATTTCTTGTGTATATCAGAGTAGAATTGATGGATCATACAACAGATGTGTTTGACATTAGAAATTCTCCCACTATTTCCCAAAGTAATTATATCACGTTTTACTCCACCAGCAATGGAACTGCCAATCTTTTTCATTTTCCTATAGTGATTTGTAGGGTATCTTACTGCAATTTTAGTAATAAATTTTGTAAAGTTATTTTTATGTTATAGATCCTAGTCCTCTCTCAAATATAGTACTGTAAATATTTTCTTCCAAGTAGTGGCTTGTTACTTTTTGAATACTGTTTTTGGATAAGCAGGAAGTTTTAATTTTAATTAGTATTTCATGAAGTGTCTGGAGCTTCATATATCCTGATTAAGAAATCTCTGGTACCTCATAAAGAGATAATCTTTTTCATTAATAATTTTACTGGGCTGGGGTTGTGGCTCAGCGGTACAGCACTCACCTAGCACCTGCAAGGCCCTGGGTTCAATCCTCAGCACCGTGTAACAATAAATAAATAAAATAAAGGTATTGTGTCCAACTACAACTAAAAAAATAAATATTAAAAAAAAATAATTTTACCTTTCACATTTAAATCTAGAATCCAATTTTAATTTTTGTATGTGACATGGAGTCAAGAATCCAGTGTTAAATTCATCTAAATGGATATCTGGTTGCTTCTGCATCATTCTAAAGACCTAAAAAGAGCATGCTACAGGGACACTGCTACATCGATG